CATCGCAAACGAGTCCTCGAAAAAACATATATATTTTTCTCTATCCATTAGGTATATACTTCGACACTGAAAATTTAAAACGCCCAACGTGCATTTGAAAAATATTACAGGATTCGAAGTAATTTTTTTTGGAAAATAAATTCATAATACTAATTTTATTTGTTGCACAGAAAAGCTAAGCATTTTAGTTTTTCATATAAAAAATAAAATTAAAGTTGATTCTTTTTTTCTTGAAAAAATAAAATACTTTAAATCGTTCTCTTAAAGTATTTTCCAAATGCACGTTACACGTTTTACCTTTCCAGCGCCGATTTAAATTCCGACACCCAGGCATTTATACTTCTATATGAAAAACAAATTGAGGAGATTTCAATATTGTCAGAATTTAAATTGTTTTTTTTTTGTGAGTGATTTTTTAGACATACAATATGTAGTCACTGAGCTAAGGAATGAAAGTTTTGTAACTTATTTAATTCATACGTCTACTTATAATTAATTAACGTGTTTGACGAAAGTAGGTACGTAAGACGGCTACAATACAGAACCTACTACGGCACGACTAACGGCGCGTTATTGAGATTGTCCGGCAATTCGGTGCGCTCATAAAGCGCCGCGACAACCTCGTTAATGGCATCGGCTTTTTGGCTAATGATCGCCATTAAACTCTCTAGTTAAAACGTAAAATATTGCGCTAACCGCTGTCGATGCATGTAATGCATAATCACCTCGTTTGATACGAGAAAATGTAGAACACAAACGAGATAAACACCGCTATGCACACATCTTAAGTGCAATATAATTGCTCAGCCTACTTGAGTCGGACATTGCATAAAATAAATATAGCGATAGCGCGTCTAACGACATAATTCCCGGTGTAATAAATGGAATTAATGGCAGTGATTACCAGACGTGTGTGGGCCTCAAGGCAGAACGAGGGTGTGGCGAGTGGTGGACGACGCAATGATGCAGCAGTGATGCACGCTCGCCTGCAGCCAACAGAAACCGCTCCTACCGCAACTGTCACTCGAGGCCTTGGCCAACACCTAACATTACTCAGCTATCCAAACCAAGCCTCTAACCAAAATTACCTCTGTCATCACAGACGTTGCGGTACGGCAATCCAAACAAAATAAACACCGATTCCACAGGCGTTATTACGTGAAAGTAGAGTCATTTATCAATGCACGACAAGAGTTTGAAAATAGAATTATAATTGTTACGTACACTTTATTACGTATGCGGTTAATTCTCATTATTTCAGTAAACGGTCAAAAAGTCGTTCATAAATCATCTACGACCGACAGACGACGGTCAGACCCGTCATTAGCGTTTGGTCATAATATTCACAACGGGTGATTTCCATATTTTCATTAATTAAACGTTTACAATTAAGTTAGAGTTTACTTGGGTGTCTGTGATGAAGTTTTTATGTAGGATTTAGGCTGAAGCAAGTGAAGTGCACGCGATTCGCTTGGGGCCGCATAGTTCAACACTCGCCGTGCACAATCGCGGCCGTCATCGCCACGCTTTCGTGTGACCGTTCTCATGAATTGTAATGTTCTGACCTCTTTTCCGACACACGAAATGGTACCTATTATAAGTTTTTAGTTAACACTTCAGTGACTTCAGTCGTGTGAAATTTTCACCTTTCACATTTTAAATATTCATATTTCTGTTATTATTTTTACTTTGGTTCAGTATTTACATTACCTTTGGTATAATTAAGCCACATGTATCAAAACTGCTTTGATGACTATAAAGTCATAACATAAAACAAATTATGTTTATATAAAATTTTATAACTGTCCTATTTAAGCATAAAAAAAGTTACCGACGATGTCTTGTTAGTACACCAAACGTGCGATATTTTACTACCTCCTTGGTACATTGATAACGTTATATGACCTATATTATATATTTCAGGTCTAAATATTTTTTATATCCTTTTCAACTCATTTTATATACATATAACCAAATAACTTTACAATCGGAAATTCCGACTAAAATCGATTCCATAGTACATTTTCCTATACCCTCGACACAAATGTTTATAATAGCTATATTATTATTCACATTAAAAAATGAAATAGTTGTTAATTAAAATGTTGTAACATACCCAATACCATATGAAATCAAACCAAAGTCTGTGCACAATAAAATAATATATATGTATATAAATAGATGATAAAAGACATACCGGAAAATCGTTTACTGAATACTGTTTGCACAATGTCAATGGCAACTTTAAATTATTTTAATAAATAATAGGTTCAATACGAGAAACACAAACACGACACACCTGTCGTCTGCCGGGTCATATCACTCAGGCATTCGCAGGGTTGTAAAATTACGAGGCTCGTGAATGCGGCAGTTATTTAAGTGTTATTCGAATACTGTAGTTAAGCTGCGGCCTGATGATTAATTCGTCGGTTTCATGGAGTTTTTGTTCCACAATTAGGCGCGGGTCACGGCACGCGCAGAGTTGCGTGCCCAATACATTGTTAGTTCCTAATATCAAGGAATAAGTGACCGGCTGGCGTTCCGTGTTTAATTTATTGTTAATTAGAAGAGCATTCTGTATAAAATTGGACATTTACCTGCTTTCGACTGAAACAAAGTGGAGATTTTTTTGAAATGTTGAGGCAAAAAGAAAAATATATACTTTTTCTATAAGCCGTGCACGGTTGCGACCTATTTAATTAAGCAGGTTTGTAAGTCGTTTCTCTGGAACGTGAGTGCGATAGTCATCGGTCCCTGAGCTATGGGAAAGCCAATTAGGTGTTGTTTTTCGTCAGAGTCGAGTCCATCCATCACGGTGCCCCGCCCTCGACCGTTCCGTTCTACTGCTTTCCCCACACGAACTATTTACCTAATTATGGAAAAAAAATAAATTTATGCCCAAACAACAAGCACTACTGCTTCTATTAACATCACTGATAAAGAAATGTGCACAGCAGTGAAAAAAAAAATGGACACGTTTAATTAGTAAAAATATCAGTAGGTCGTACAAAAGTTTACTTGTGTCAATTAGTTATTGTATATTACAATAACTGTAAAGCAATAACAAGATCGTCACGATAATATCGGTTTGCAATGTTACACGTTTCGTGATTTTGCCACTGATTCTGAGCAAATAGATCGTCCATTGCAAAGAGATCTACAATTTCCAACACGTATTAACAACGCTACAGTTCTTTATACACCGTTTGTAATGTCCAATTTATAAAGCATTTTGATTTGTGTCTGTTTATTTAATAGAACGAGGTCTTTCTAAAATGGTTATTTATTTGACATTTGCATTGGAGCACCTGCGGCGCGGAGGTAAGTAGCTGGAAGCCGGCTGTCGGACTACGACATGTGCGACTAATTTGTGCCAACAACGCACTCATTACATCGTCCACGACGCTCGAGGTGTCGTCGGCACTGGCAATTTCTATAAATTACCACACGCACAAGGAAGTTCTGTATGATAGGACGTCATCCCGAAGGACGTCAGATAATTGCGTACTTAATTTATAAAGTTACAAAAGGAATTTGTGTGCGTTACCAATGACAAACAGGCTTTTAATACCTTTACGTTAAAAAGTATTTTACTTTGTTACCTAGTTGTTATAATGGTATTTTGCTATACCTAGACTAGATATAACAAGTAAGAGAGAAGACCAGATTAATACAAAGTTCTATTATAATATGCATATATGGAGGATACATGCGCTCAGACTGCTTGCAATCAATAACAAAATGATATAATGTCTAGTTTATTCAGGTGTTGGCCTTTAAGCCTTAGTTTTTATGAATGGTCCAGAGGCGATTCCTCTGAAGTGCCATAAATGTAACTGCTTTGTTCTGTTCTGCTAATGCTATTGAAAAAAGTAGATATTACTTCCGAAACGATGCGTTATGAGAGTATAAAAGTAAAATTATACTATATATAGTAGCAAACAGAGCTCCCTGTGAAAGAGTTCGTCCAGGAAAGAACACACATAACAGTAAGAGCGCGTTCACGCGCTCACGCCGCGCGGAGACCGTGTGGCCGTCGTGCATCTAACTGTCATGGCAAAATACGCTCTATTTGTTTAGCTCTTACGTTGTTTTGGGCGCATGAGGGAGGCTGGCTTTAGTCTACGCGGCGGCGTCCGCGGTTATTCCGAGGAATTCAGATTCGCTATTAATGTACGTAAAGCGCGTAACAAACTAAACTAACCAACTAAAAGGTACTTAAAAGGCAAATGGGTGGTCGCCGTGCGAAAACTTTCGCATCGTGCAACTGCTAAGCTAAGTAGGTGCATATTTTGATTGTCTATAGATGTATGATTTATTTATTAATTAAATTTTAAATAATTTTACTGTTAAAATAAAATAATTTGTAAAACATACCTATGTCTGATTTGCCATACAAAGCATCTTTCCTAATAAATAAGTTTAGTAGTAGGAACTCCTTGTAAAAGAGTTCGTCGAGAGAAGTACTGCCACCACATCTATTTCTGCCGCCTAGCAATAATTTGACTATTACTGTGTTCCAGTTTTGGAGGGTAAACCTTACCCTCCAAAACTGGTTAAAAGTACAGACTTGTCAACTTATGTCTCAGGGTGACGGGCGCCGTGGCAGTGCCCCTCAGATCTTTGTGATTTAAAGCTCTGAGTGGCACGGCAACTGTTATGGACAGACGTGTCGCTTACCGCCAGGTGCACGTATTGTTCGTCCCGTCACTTGGTACTATAAAAAAAAAACAAAAACAAAGGAGTGTAATCCTGTAGTAGCTTACCTCCAACTAAAAGTAACTTTTTACGTCCATGCATAAAGTTTAACCATAACTGAGGCGGAATAGTTTAATATTCATTAATCATTTTTGTTATTCATCTGCTCACATTTGTCTATTATGATTACACTAACGACACATGAGCAAAGTGGTGCCAATAAAGACGTAGATAAATAGACAAGGTGTTACATGTAATGAATATGTATATACGTACGTAAAGTTAACGTGTTAAGTACTGACCTGTCCATTTTTATCCATCTCGTTGTTGGTGAGCTTAACTTTCTCAAACGAGACAACCTGCTTGCGAAGCTGGTCGCCAGAGTAGGGCGAGTCAGGGTGAGGGTAGAGGCGCGCGGGTGCGGGTGGGTCAGCTTTGCCCGCTACCAGCCACGAGGAGCGGTGGTAAGCGTAGCGATAGCGCTTGCCATCCACCGGGACCACGTCTAGCAGCACCGCATACCGCGCCTCCGCGCGGCACCCCGCAAACGACACGCGCACAGTCGGAAACATCCGTCTGGCAACACACAGAAATTGTATTAGCTGCACATGTTACAAAGAAGCCCTAAGCTATAAACAGATCTATAAACTAGTGAATAATTGTCACTTTATTTTGTAAGTAACTATTCGAATACTAATGAAAGCAACCTTTTCAATAGATATATTTTACGACTTATAAAAAGTACCAAGTAAATGTTCGTGACTAATTTTTACAGCATAATTTTTTTTTTAATTTCTTCCTATACGTAACTATAAATTCACGAGTCTGAAGAAATAAGCTACTCAGCTCTAATGACGTCTTAAGGATCGACCGAATACTAAATTAGGTATAAAAGAACAAAAAGCTGATGGCTCTGCCCAAAACTGTTTTAAGGAATAAAAATGAAACACATGCTCGCAATAAAAAAATGACTAATGCATCTTCATAAAAACTGCTGGAGATCCGGCCACAGACGGTGACTTGTATAATTACAGGATGAAATGCGAACTAGGAAATCAAACAAATATGATGTATACGATTTTGATGCACCCCTAAATGGGCGCAAGCGCTTCCTGTCGGTCAAAATGCGATAACATCACCACCGTTTATTTATGAGCAAACTTTCTTAATATAGTTTTTTTTCTAACTTTAAACGGTACTTTGTGTTTCGAAGGCTAAACAAGTAGTCAAGCGTTGTCAGATTAGATAACTGTCATACCAATTTGTTTGGTGGCCGAGTCGAGATGTCTGGCACTATTTTTTTTAAATAATCATCAGTATATAACAAGGGTTCTCCAGAATTTATTATTGAATACGTATAAGCAATAAAATTCGGGAGTGAAAGAAAGAATTATTGGCAGCCATAAAACACGCCGGCGTGTCAACTCCTCTATGAGGTAACATTAAACAGAAAAGACCTATAAAATTGGATGCTGAACCCACGGAGCGCGACGTCGATAAAGCACGGTGTATTGAGCGAGAGTTTTCGTTAAGCACTAGCCATAAATAAATCGTATTACGGTGTGTATTTGAATGGGTGTGGTGTATCGGCTGCGGGATCGACGGTCGGTGGACAATGCGCCGTGTGCGTTTATGATCATGTCGTAAGGCAGTGTAGCAATGTTGCGCGACGACGCGCCACCCACCGTGGCCAAGTAATGAGTCGCATCCATCACGGATAATAATCGTCGCGACTATCTCCATCGCCACTTGACTATACTCTTTCACAGTATATTATCTTTGCAAATATTAGTACTCAGAGAAAACTACACACACATAGAGAGAGAGACATACTTTTATTTTATAAAAAGGCGTAAAAAATTCTACTGTAACGTGTTTTAATGAAAATTACCCGAGCAATTAAATTGGTTTTCAGCGATGCGAAAACATTAACGGTACAATTTCACAAAAGTACAAACAAAGTCGTCATTAACAAAGTGGCTGATGAAAGCATTTGACGGGTCTTCTCAAGAGTTATTAACGCCATCAATTTCACAGAACAATTAACCGAGTCCTTGCAAAACAAAAGGCGACGTTTCGATATTAAAATGGCTTCCGAGGAGTAATAAACTTAGAGTTGGCGGAGTGAGGAGGTATTTGCATAATTCATTAATAAACGTCGACCGGCGATGGCTCCGATACGCTTAACAAACACAAGGCTAACATTTATCTACAAGCAAGTACAAATACTCGTATAATCTACGGTATATTTTGTTAAAAAAAAAACAATTTGTATTTATTATAAATACGTACGTGCGCAAGTAAGTTCATTCACTCATTCTTTAATTAATTAATATAAATGTGCTTGACCATATCTCAGTCCTTAAAGAACATTGTTAGTGACATAGTCACCACATCTATTATGGTGAACATAATTTAGTGTGAAGTATATAAAATAAAAAATTATATGAAGCAAGCATTACAATTTATGTAATTGAACATTATCTAGAGAACTATCGCACTAGGGAAACCCTGAGTGCTATGGACACACGCATACACAACCAAAAATTACACCCAAACTCACGAGAGAAATAAATGTAGGCCACACAAATATTTCTCCTGGCCCGGGAATCGAACCCAGGTCCTCTGCGTGACAAACCAGCAAAGTAACCGTTCGGCCACGGAGGCAGTTGATGTAAGTTAATTTTGGGCTCAATACTAACTAGAGATATCTGACCGCAAAAGACCACGAATTGTCTTTTGTAAAAAAATACGTACAATAAAGTAATTTACTTTGCAGAAATCGTCTTTTATATTTTCCAAATAAGTAGAAGGCCTGTTGTACGATTGCGGTACACCACAGCCTGTGACAAACGGGCACACATGAAAGGACCTAATTTAAGTCTGTGAGCTCAACAATTATGGGCTACCACTTCCGCAGCGAGGCGCGAATTTTCCCCCTTTCTTATCATTTCCCCTTTCTTTGTGACCAATTACAATTGTTTACTTTTGTTATATAGTTGTTTACTATAGGGGACAGAATTACACTCTTTCTTTTCAAGCTAAAATAAACAGCTGTCGATGTTAGTATAGAAAAACCAAATATATTTTATACCATAGGTATAAAAAGTACCCAGCCGGGAAGTGTATGTATGTATGGATTGATACTTTATTCCATTTTGCCTTTAGCTGATTTTTAGTCGCAGTAGAGCTCCTTATGAAAGAGTTCGTTCAGGATAGTACTGCCACCTTACCTATTTCTGTCGCTAAGCAGTAATGTGAGGATGGCTACGTTCCGGTTTTGAACGGGTGCTGGTGAAATTGCAGGTACATGGGATTTATCTACTTATGTCTCAGGGTGACAGGTGCAGTGACAGTACACCTTAGATCTTAGCGATTTAAAGCTCTGAGTGGCACTGCAACTGTTATACACAGGCGTGTAGGTTACCATCACGCACACGACTTGTTCATCCCGTCACTTTATATTAATAAAAAAAGATCTAACATAAAAATAGATAAAAACCAATAACTCTGTTAAACTGCGAGTATGACATATTCCACAATTGTTCAGTAAATAATTTGAAACATCTATCGTGTGGAATAGTAATTGAAGCGTATTAATTGTCGACAGTTTTTCTGCAAACGGACACGGACAGTAGCGTAAATGCATAGGATAGAAAATTCCTGCTTAATCGTAATTTGCTACAATTGCTTTTTATTACGATTACACGAGAACCATCCATCGCTGTTTAACACTACCATGTTAATTATTTTACGATAATGCAGGTAAAAAAAGTTAATAAGAACGAATTCCCGGACTGAACAACGTTCAGGCTAGCTATTTTTAACACCAAGTTAACTTAATTAACGCGCTTATTATGAGATTATTAGAGTAATCACTATGTAGCTTTATTTAATGGTGATAAAACAGCAACTCATTATATGGAGAAACGTGTTCAGAATAGTTGAAATTGACAGAAGAACTTACGTGTCAGAAGTAAACATTGTTGAAATGAATGTGCGTATATACAATAACTTAGAGGAATAACCTATAACACACAATGTAACAAGTTGTTTTTATTGTCGATGGAAGTAAATTCCTAATTTAATGTTTTGCTATTAAATAACTTTGGATTAAGAGTCTAGACTTGAGTTTACAATGTAAAAAATTTAAAAACTAAACGAGTTTCAATGAAATGTCATGCTACTTCAGTCATAAAGGCAGAATTCACATATACATATACACGCAATGCCGGGCAACGCCACTTTTATGAGTTCTCAATACCTGCGATTATACATGACATTCAGCTGTTGATTATTATTAATTATAGAGAGCATTTATTTCTCGATTCCGGTTTCCCGAGGTGTGAATATACAGCACTATAGTGCGAACAAGAAGCTATAATATTATATCGAGGCTATAAAATGTTTCGCGTAGCGGAATTAGTGTCACTTCACACGTGCAGTCGCGTGCGGCGCGTCAGCTGTCGCTCATACGTCTCGTTACGTCGCCACGCGACATCGCGCCGAGGCTAATCTCTCGCTCACAACAAATATCCAGTTACTCCCGAAACGAAAACGATCCCAAAAGTATTTATTTAAAAAAGCAATAAACTTAAGTCAACGAGTTAGGAAGAACATATAAGATCTCACAAAGCCCCTGAGCTGGGCGCGGGCGCAGGCGAGCACCACGCCGACTGTCATCTGTCAGACCGCCATTTTAATTCCTCTGTAAATTATACAAATTGACACTTGACATGTTTTGTCGTCTCCCGAGTAATCGTGCGAAATGGAACTCTCATTTTATTACTTTTGTGAAGTAGAAGAGGGTTTCAAGCCGCTATCTTGTCGTTCGATCTTGATCACACTGCATTTGGTTAGCTACCAGACTGATCTCAATAGTTCTTTTAAAGTTTTTAATCCGACTTATTTCTGTCCGGTTTAGTTACTCAGATATATTGTGACACATTAAGTGGAAGTTAAATATCGTGTAAATTAAATGTACATTAGCTTGTGTTTTCACCAGATTAATGAGGCTTGTTCATCAGCAAGATTTCAATTTTATAATGTCGTTATAAATGAAAAATAATGGAGACATAAATATTGCGAAAAGTGACGTTTTGTTAACGACGTCGACGCAATGTGTATAAAGTAGCCACTCGGCGGGGCGCCACACTACAGGAAAACGTTTTGCTAATTAAAAATTCTTTGTTTTTTTCTTTGGCCATTGGAATAGTTACACGAGAAATGTTTTATTATTTTTAATAACACTAAACACTAATTTACAACCCACTCCGGTCGTTAAAGAGTATGTGTGAAATTCTTTATTAATTGAATAATGTACTTGATTTACATAATTAGAGAATAACATAAAATCATAACTATTGGATTTTTTTTGCTCAAGGTCCATACAGCTGTACTGAGGTACTAAAATTACTTTTATTGGAGTTATATTAAGCGAAGCTACATGTGGCTGTTAATACTGCTACATGTATAATGCAGTCTTAATACGTTTACTAGTACAATTTGTAAAATAGTGCACTAAATGTGTAAGCAGCGTTGCTTATTTGATGTTTTAGAATATTATTAAAGCAAAA